ATAAACGATCCAAATATACCAATGACAATTGAGAGACCAGAAGAAGGAAATGTCCCTGGTTAGAGCAATTGTGGCTGTGTGAGAGAGGGAAAGAGAAAGCAAGGAAGTGATATTTCACAGGAACAGAGTAAGAGGTCTGAGAGGTGTATAACTCTGCCTTCCTTTGACTGGACAGTAATATTTTGTTAATAGATGCACTTTGAGTGACAAATTCAGCTTTTACTTCAAAGATAAAAGTCGAAGTTTCCAGAGTGTGTCAGAAAGGGACTCAAATATTTTAATGTATCCATGCCTCCCCTACTAGGTAACACTCTTAGATAAATGCCTTTATCTCAGCAAGCCTCAATGGCTCCATGCGAGAGAAAGGGCTGCTTACATCTAACCAATAATTTTGCCACTCTCTTGTGGGACTTGTGTTGATGACTCAAAACCTTTTAAAAGTTGGGATGATATAAATCTCTGTGTTTGTGTACCCATGATACACACTCACTTTATATATAGTAATAAATAACAGTTAATATTTACTGGAGTGCTAACCATGTGCTATGCACAAGTTCAACCTCTTTATTAAATTCCTATACATCTGAATAGGGAAGTCTTACTGATCAGGAAATAGAGACACAGAGCATTTAAGTAACTGGTTCAAGGTCACAGAGCTAATAAAAGGAAAAGCTAAGATTCAAACTCAGGCAATCTAACAACAGAACTGATGTTCAAAGTATAAACATTCTTTCCTTAATGTCCTTCAACATTCCCATTTCCCATCTGTGGCCAAACATATGGAAAACATAAATTTATTTTATGGGCCCTAACATCACCACAGAGCCCTAGATAAATCTTGACTGGGAGCTGGATGACAAAGGAGCATATTAAGAATGGAGGGTAGCGGTAAAGTTAGCCTTACTTCAGTACTCTGAAGAATAAAGCATGTTGTTCTGAAAGACATGAAGATCCTTAATGTTTTGATAGCTGGAGAGGATACGATGCAACGAAGTCAAGAATTCTACCACACTATAGCAGTGACTTCAAAGGCCTGGAGTTCTGACCATGCCAAGGAAGGAGCAAGGGGAGAGGCAGACCTTCAGAACGGATGTGTGGGGCACAAAGTCCCTTGGTGGCATCTGCTCTTTCATCTTAAATCCTTAAAATCCCCATTCCAGATTGTCTTGTACTTTATCACAAAAACATACACCATCCAGAGTTTTCAATCGGGTCAACTAAAAAAGTAGAATTTCAGGGAAATAGCAGAAATGGCTAGGAGCCATGGGGCAATTCCTGTGGTTGACAAGCAAATCTGCCTCCCTTGTGATTACCTGGTATTCAGTGTGTTTCTGACATCAAATCAAAGATAAACGTGATTTCAAAAAGACAGCAGAGCAAACAGTGATAGCAGAACTTGTGTGTTTGCCAGGTCATCTGCTCTTAAGGGTTCTGTCCTGCACAAACTATGGAAAAGCAAAAAAAAGAAACCATTCAGTGGCACTTGAGACAGGAGAAATGATTGGGTGTGAACAGTTCCTCACATTTTTAGAGCCAGCTGAGGCAAAGAATTAGGAAACTGAGTGGCTCTAATACTGGTTGCCTAAACAAGCTTACTGAGGTGGGAGACAAGTCTATTCATCTCCACTGAGCAGGGCGAGTCGTGCACAGAACACTAGGTAGCTATTTCAGTGGTGCTGATTGATTTGCAGAGATGGCGCGGGTGTGACTTCTTCAGTCAAAGTCAATGTTTTCTTGGCCCTCAAAATTTCAGAAAAATACAAACATAAATGAAAACTAATGACAAGGCCCACACATAGCCCCAGAGTCTTTGCCTCAACAATTATTAATGCCTGCTAGGTTTCCAGCATCCTGCTAGATGCTGACAATGACATAAAAATCATCAAAGACATAATTCCTGTTCTCTATAATATTAATAATGATAAGGTAGCAAAAATTATATAGGTTTTGAAATGACAGAGTTGACTGTTTTCTCTGCCACATATATCCTGCTTTTCAAATTAAAAACTAACAGATAACACGAGCATGACTTGCGCGTGTCTTCCCTTTGTTTAGAACGCCCTTGCCTTGATCTGCCTGGAGAAACTCCATGTATAATTCAAAGTCCAGCCTGGCGGTCACCTCAATGACATGAAGCCTCAACGGCCAGGCCCACATGGCAATCCTCATCACTTTCTCCGTGCTCCCTTTATACCCTATTCACATCATTGCAATTTAAGATGTTGTTGTATGGATCTGGCTTTGACCCTGAATCCCCCGCTTAATGGTCTCATTTACTTCAGATTCTTCTAGACTCTGGCTATCTCTTAGAATCATCTCTGAGTGTTTTAAAAAGTAGAGAAGCTCAGGTTCCAAACCAGACCCATGGAGGCCTGAGCATCTTAATTTTGATGTTGAGTTGCAGTCAGAGCTTTGAAGCAACCACTAGCCCTCATTCCTCTTTACAGCTCCAATGCCAAGTACAATGCCTAGCACAAAGCAGGTGCTCAGATGATGCTTGTGGAATGAATTAATTACTGTAGCCACTTTATTTCTCTTTGCAGGTAAATATCTAAATTATCCATGGCACCAACTTGCTGAGGTCAACTAGAATGTTTTTGTGGACCCTTCTTAAAGATCTCTGGGTTTCTACAACCACATTCTTTCGTGGATCTCAGTGTTTTTGCATTCTGGTAGGTGAAATATTTTCTTTTGAACACTGATTATATGAAGTTTTACAGTAAATAGGTTAGAATTTAAAGATAAGAGATATTTATTGCCAAAATGTGACAAGCGAATAAAAATTAATTGTAAAGGCTTCTCTGTATATTCATGCACATGTCCAAATTTAGATCAGGAAAAAATACCAAGAAATTTCTATTCTAAGGTCTATGATCAAATTTCTATCTGCCCAATGGACATTCACACTTTTAGAGGTCACATTCAAAATGGAACTTATTAAACCTTCCCTAACAGTTGTTCTCCTTGTTAGAGGTAAGGGCTGAAGTTTGGATAGTGTGAGATGGTATTACATGATCAAGGACTCATAATGATAGAATCTTGCCATGCCACTTGCCTCTCTTCCCTGAGGAGAAGAGAAGTAGCCATACAAAGAATAATAGCAGAATACGAATCACAATACCACATCATTAATATCTGAGTCAGAATCCAATAACCCAGTGAAATGTGTCATGATTTAGAACACACTGCTTGGGTTGGAGGCTGAAGTGAGCCTTCCATTTCTTTTAAATCTAAATCTTGAGACCAGCACATTCAATTCTCCTTGTGCAAATAGGCAGTGAGAGGGAGAGACGGATGGCCAGATCTGCAGAGAAGGCTTTCGTCTAACTTCCCCTCTTAGCTCTGTGCTCAGAGGAGTTGGAAAAGAGAAGGAGAGAATTATGCCTGGGCCTGGATCAAGAAGACACACTCTGTCTAAAATTATTTACCAAGGGGGAAAGAAGAGAAAAAAATGAGAGTGCGTATCTCTGGCTGTAAGACACAGTATCCCTGTTCAGGAGTAAAACACAGTCCAAAGAATGACCTAGTCCCAGATAAATCATAATAAATATTTCTGACCCCTTGGTGGAGGATCTGAAAGTGAGCAGAAGTGGATCTAGAAGTAAAGCAGCCTTAAGTTACTTCTTATCCTGCTGGCTTCTTGTCAAAAGGCAACCATCCCAAGCTCCAGGTCTCCATGCCCCAATCAACCACCAATCTTCTCTTATAGCCTATAAGTTTGTGTATGTGTGTCTGTTTGGTTGTTAAAACCAGGGGTGGAGAGTTCTAGTAGTAGCTAGTGGGTATAGCCCTGGGATGCTGCTGAACATCCTATGATGCACAGGACAGCCCTCCACAACAAAGAAGGACCTGGCCCAAAACATCAATAATGCCCAGGTTGAGAAACCCTGGAGAGAACATTTATTGAGCACCCACTTTTTACTACACAAAGAAACTTGTTCTTTACATTCATTACCCCAGGTAATTCTAACAGAAACTCTTTGATGAAAATACAATTCTCATTTTCAGATGAGGAATCTTAAAGCTCAGAGTAATTGAATACCAGCTCAAGGTCACAGATCCGGAGGGAAGCAGAAAGAGATTGAAGCCATGGTTTCTAATTCCCTCTCAAGTTCAATCCTCTACCACAGAGTTCCCTATTTCTGCCATGTCAGTCATGTCTCCCTTTCCTATCCCCATTGTCACTGGAATAACTCGGTTCTCTTGGGCAAGGTCTTTTGGCAGGTCAACCCACAACCATTTCAATTAGTTCAGCTTCCCTCTTTCCTTAGCCAGACTCTTGTGTAGAGATGGTACAATTTTAGTGCTACCTAGGACAGGATACATTACAGAAGCACAGTCAGTTCACTTTCAAACTCAGCAATTTATTCATCGCATTCTTTCGAAGAATGTGGACTCAACTTTTGCATGCACTTCTGAAATAATAGCTAATTGACAATGCAGATAATTTATCAAAAAGAAACAGCCAAAAAGTGTCCAAAAGAGAAAGTGTAGACGGGATTTTGGATAAAATAGATCTGGCTTTCTGTTACTTTCTAACTTGGACTTGCTTATCTCTCCTGCTTCATGTCCTTCATGTATTTGAACTCACCCCTCACTTAGTACCATCCAGACACAAGGGACCTTCCTCAATTCCTTAAAAGCACGAAATTCTTTCTTCAGGGTGTCCATTACGCTCTTGTTTCTTCTAGAACATGCTTCCTCCTACAATCCATTTGGCTATCACCTATTTTTTTGTTCAGGTTTCAACTTGGATGCCATTTCTTCAGAGAGGCTCTCCCTTGACCTCCCCCAATCTGAATCAGCCTCTCTTCTTTCCTATCACTGCCACTGTTTGCAGTATATCCTTGGTGATATTTATTAATGGAATGCCTGTCTCCCCACAAAAGGGAAAGTGGTCCATGAGGGCAAATGCTGTATCAGCTTGGTTCATCAATGCTCAGCCCATAGCCTGTACTGCAAAATTATTCTTTGAATGAATGAATAATGACATTGGTTAAGTTACTTAACCTCTATGAACCTTATGTCCTTATCTATATAATGATGGTATTAATTCCAACTTCCCAAAGTTATCATTAGAATGAAATGAGGTGATATATCTGAATAGCCCCGTACAATACTTGGCCAAAAGTTGGTATTCCATAAATGTTATTCAAGACCTGAGAGTTCTTATCATAATTCTTTGACAAAATTATTTTCCATGTGACCTTGGATGAGAACTCTGCCTCTCTGTACCTCCTCATTTTCTTTTATTATTAGGTCACACCATAAGAAAAGACTCGAAAAGCAGCAATTTCATAATTTTTTATTTGTCTAGGCCTTTTATACAGAAAAGTAAAATATCATTCCATAGCTTCAGACATTTTAGAACATAATTTGTAAGCAAGATGGAAAGAGGGCATTTCTACCCCATTTAGTGAATAGTCATGTAGATAGACAGGGAGTCAAAAGATATTGCCCCAAATAATAATAAAGTTTGGTGGGAAAGTCAAGTTATGATGGGGTATTAGGCCTCCAGATTCTCTTTTACCCCTGACTTGGCTCTTCATAATTTTGCTTCATGTGTTTTAGGAAAATTATGTGATTCTTTTCCTTGCCACCAATTCCTGATAAGACTTTCCTGAGTTTAACTTTACCTACTCATACTCAGGATGTATTATTGAAGGAAGATGAGATTTTTATTGCCTATGGTTACAAACAACTGTTGTTTCAGCCCCAGTCTGGAATAACCTATACACATGCTCCTGACTTTGAACACAGCTACTGATGAGTTGATAACCCAACTGATTGATGAATCTGAGTACATCTTCATTCATGGCGGATGGAGCTAAATAAAGAAGGATAATATGTGCATTGTACTGTATCACGAATGTCTCAAACTTCTTCCTGTTGTTCCTTATTTCTCATGTGGCAGAAACTGCAGAGCAACATGGAGTGGCCTGTCAAACTTTGGAAGCTGACAATGTGACTCAGCTAATCCCGGGGGTCTTCACAGAAAAGGCAGTCAGGGTCCTGGTCGGCTGGAGATTCCATCTGAATGGTGAGTGAGTGCACAATAAAGCTATTGCTGAGGACTTTAGCAATCTCCCTCCGAACGACCTGGCTGTCCTGGCTGGCTGCTGTTGATAAAGAACCACAGTGAGATTGACACTGATTGCACACACACGGGTGACTGCTAAATCTCCAGCATCACTTTGTCTTTGACCTGGTAGGGTGGGACACAGGCAGAGCACTTACAAGGAGCCACGATGCTCTGACAATCAGCTACATTCACACAGACAAAGCAAGGGAAATTCTAGTGCAGCAGTGTACCCCATCACTATGGGAACTCTTCCTGCCCACAGGTCTCTCCGGGGTCTGGTCCTCTTAAGAGCTGAGTATGGAAGGGGAGACAAGCCCTGGAAAAAGCTAAGACAGAGCTATTATTTCTCATACAGTCTTGCTCACCAGTCTCCAGGGATCTCTGGGTTGCAGCCCTTGTATGTAATCAGAATTTATCTCAAGGCTGGTGATAGGAACCAGGAAGCATTTAGCACTCCCCACAGACCTTTCTTAGAGCAGCAACCCTCAGTGCCATCTTTTCTCTTGTCCCAAAAGGAATCAGGAGACTGTAAAGTTCCCTCCATAGTGACCCAATTGTTTACTAGGTTATTCCATTTTCAGTGAAATATTGGTGCAGTGGATGCTGTAAATTCCCTGTAGCCAGATCTGAGACTCTCAGTGAAGATGAGGATGTCTGAGAAAGCACACTCCTCAAATACCTATCATTGGTGTTCCTGTACCCTGCCTCTAGGTAACTTCTTGAGTAATTTTTTAGCAGCCTAATGTATCATCCTTGGCCTGAGCTGTCTCCTGAGGCAGTGAAAGACCTCTCACTCCCCATTCTCCCAGCCGTAGGAGATGTCTTGGACAAAATCAGCTACATGAGAAAGTAGTTTTTAGAATAAACCCAGCATCCTAAGAATGATCCCACATGGTTTACAGAATTTCCAAACATCCGGTAAGGGAGCCATTATTAATTCCCACTAGCACATCTTGTTAGAACCTTAAGGATGGTACTATGTCTCCTTCATCTTTCTATCTTCAATGATAGGCAAAGTGTCTTATACACATGAGATACTCAATGAGGATTTCTTGTTGAATTCATCCCTATTATTTAACAGTAAGTTAAACAGGTAGAGCCAGAGGCCTTGAAGTTTGGGTGACATTTTAGCTCTTTGTTCTACTTTCTACCCTCTGCAGCTGGCCTTAAGGGATGTCATCGGTATCATTGTTGCCATGACAATATCAACAAGGGGGTGTTTTCAAAGGCCCTTGGTGATACAAGACACTTGACAGTTGTTTTGACAGGCAATAGACACTAAAGCCAGCTCTATGAAAAAGAAGGAAATTACTGACTTTACAGGACAAGGACTGAATTTTGTCCCGAGTGTTTACAAAACTCACTGACCTGCAGCAACATGAGCCGAGAGAATCACTTGGTTCATTGTTAGAGACCAAATGTGCAAGCTGTGCACAGACACCACCCCATCCACTGCTAAGATGAGCTCTTTCACACTGTCGTAATTCAGGTTCTTTGGCACACCTGACAAGAGGAAAGAGTTGGGGCTGTTGTTACTCAATTAAATATAGCTCATTAACATGGCTAAATGGGGCCGCAAAGTCCTCACCAAGATATCAACTTGCCCTCCCCTTCTCTGGTTTCTTACTTCAAATGTTTATAAATCAGAGTCACCTGACTGTTTCAAAGTATTTACCATCAATCAAACAAAGGATATTTGAAGAATTTATCGTGTAATAACCAACAACAGTAATCATCCTTCATTTTCAAGGTGTATTATTAAACCAATTGAGCTTTTCCCAATTACCTTTGCATACACTCTGAAAAGCAAAATGAAACAACATGGGGCTTGGAATCAAATAATTCCAGGTTCGCATTCTGACTACAACTATTGTGAATTTACCCAATCATGGAACTTCTCTGATCTTCAGCATATTTGTAGTAAAATAGAAGTCATAAGAATAATATGTAGTTCACAGAGTTCTTTGAGGAACAAATCAGAAAATATCTGCCCTTTGCAAACTGTAGTGCTGTACAAACGTTAGCTATCCAAGAGGTCACTTAGTGAACTGTGTTAATAGGGGATCCTAACATTGTAGTACCATCTTATTATTTGGCTTATAAAATTTCTATTATTTTAGGTACATTAGTTAGAGTTTAATGTTCTAGTCACAGAATGTAATAGTTTGACTGTCATCTTTATTGTTAAAGGAATGGTGTGGAGCACACAGGAAGGTGGAGAGCCTGGCAGCCAATTAGCTATTCTTTGGGGCTGAAAGAACTGAGGCGTCTCTATCCTGGAGAAGAGAAGGCTAAGGGAGGTGGGATCACTCTTTTCCAAACATTGCAAGGGTTGTCATATAGAAGATGGGAGGATGTGAAAGTGTAAGGGTGTTTGCTTTGGCTGGCTACAGAGAGAGAAACCGAGCCAGTGGTTGGTCAGAACCACAGAAGACACGAGTTCAATACAAGATTTTTTTTTAAAAAATCAACTCAACCAGGACAACCATATTAAAGCCATTTGATGCAATAGGTCGATCTCTGTCAACTAAAGATGATGCAAAGAGGATGCTGTAGAAGAGATCCCTAAGGATGACCACTTTTTAGCCTCTACTTCATTTACATATATTACACAGACACCTGGAGTGTTTGTTAAAAATAAATATGCAACAGCTCCATTCCAATCCTCCTGAAGAAAATTTCTATGGAGGAGGCTCTGAATCTGCATGTTTTCAGAGTGGCACTCAACCTCGGATGCCCATTAGTATCACCAGAGGAGACTTTAGAAATCCTGATGACCAGGATACACCCAAGAAAATTAAATCAGACTCTCTGGGGATAACCCAGAATCGGTATTTTCTTAGCTCATTTGGTGATTCCAACACACAGCCAAGGTTGAGAACCATCATACCTACATTTATGAGCCACTGGGAAGCTCTACCTTGCAGTGGTTCTCAAGCTTGGCTGCATGTTATAAAAACACCAAAGCCAGCCCCCACCCCAGTCAATTAAATCAGAATCTCTGGGTATGGGGCCTGGGCATAAGTACTTTTTAAAAGCTTCCCAGGTGATTGTAATGAATAACTAGTCAAGAACCACTTATTTAAAGAGATAGGGAATCCTTACCCTTCCTTTTTCAGTGTTTAAGAACCTTGCTTTTGGGGATTTACTTCTTGGGGCTAACTTAAAATTGTGTACAGTTTGAGTTTAGTTTAATCCCGCTTCATATTGTTTCATGGAAGATCATCCTGTTCTTTTACCCCATGAGCTGCCCAAAGCTCAGGTTACTAGAATCAAATTAAAAGAGTTCTTGTCTCACATTAGCCATAGAATGTCTATGGAGTCATGGATGCAATTGTTATACTGTGATAATAACAATAACACAACTTTATTGAGAACCTACCACATCTCACAGTTTATGCTAAGCACTTTATTTATAGTGATTATCTTATTCAATAGTTATAAGAATTTTAAGAGTTGTCAGTATTACAATTTCTATTTAACTGGGGGAGAGGAAATTGGGAGTCAGAAAGGTTAGGAGGCATTGCTAAGGCCACACAGATAAGTAGGACGTCAGATTCTAAAGTCCATGTTCTGAGTGTAAACTGTTATGCAAATGCTAAACTCCAGGTATTGCAACCCAAAGTTGACTATTATGCCTAATGTGTCATCTCGGGGGAGTGTCGTCTCTGGGGAATCTCACCTGACCCTTTAAAGACCTGCTGTCATTCACCTAGGGCCCTTGGGATGAAGTCACGATCCCTCTATGCTTATTCTCTCTTGCCTCCTTTAGCTCTTTACCTTTATGGAAAACACAAGCGCACTGTTACTTCTTTTACTTTATGAAATAATGTTGACAAGTAATAGGATGTGCTCCTTCTGGCCCCAATGCTACATCACATCTTTGAAACCTTTTTTTCTGAGGGAGAGCCTGCAAAAATATTAATGTATCCAGGAAAATACCCAAATTAGCGTTTAAAAAATAATTATCTAGGCTAACAGATATATGAAAAATCACTCAATATCGCTTATAATTAAGTAATTGCATATGAAATCAATAAGGTATAATATTTCACCTATCAAATTAGAAAAGAATCACTAGCTTGATAATACCCAGTGATGGTGAGGATGTGAGGAGATGGCTCTTTCATATGCTGTTGGCAGGAAAGAAATTGAGATGGTATCATTGGCAGAAATGGCAATATCTATCAAATTCTAAATGCACATAACTTTTGAAACAGCAATACCACTTCTAGGAATTATTCCACAGATAGATAAGTGCTAAAAATACATATGTACAAGAATGGTAATTACACCATTGTGTATAATGTCCATCAACAAGCAAGTGCATGCATATAGTGGGATACTTTGTAGCTACGAAAAAGAATGGGGTGTATCTATGTATATAATAATATGGAAAGATCTCCAAATGAAAAAAAGCAAGGTGCAAAACAAAAAATATATCAATGTGTAATACCATTTGTTTAAAAAAAGGCATATGCACACCATATATACATGCATATATATTACATGTACATACGTATGTAAGTGCATAGATATTTTTGGAAAGATATATTTCAACTTATTAGTAGGTATTACCCCTGAAGAATGGGACTTAGAATTCAAAGGTGGAGAAATAGGGAGATTTTTTTTCTTATCATTTCATACCTTTCCATATCATTTTAAGATTTTACCAAGTACAAATGTTATTTTATGCTAACCTAATTTAAAAACCTAGTTTAAAAATTAAGCATCTTCCAGATAGGAGTTTACCTGCCAGTTTCAATAATTAGCTACACTCTTCCTTACATAAAAAAAAGATAATTGCCAGAGAAGAGCTATACTGAGAGACAGAGAAAGTGGAATATGGTCATCTCAAATTGTACACAATTTTCTCTTTTATCCCCCTTTAGGTCACTAAGTTCTATAATAGCAAAAACAGCTGCCACCCAGCACTCAGCCCTTGGGAAAGGAAATGGATGTATCTGTGACTTGACGAACCAAATATTGTCACCTTGAGAACCAGGAAGTGCACTTGTTACTCAGTGATGTTTGACTCCATCTTCTGTTTCACTATTAACACGATCATCTGCCAACAACTGTAGTGCCCACCGAGAACTAAACCCTTAAATGTGTACTTGGCAGTGAATGCTAAAGAAGTGTGAGTTGATCCTGAAGGCAAGGGCACTCTGAGACTGTATCTATCTTCTGTCAAAATGTGCTGGACAGAAAAGAAAAGTTCAGCCAATGTCCGGATATTTTTGATCATCTGAATGTTTGATATAATGAAACCTCTAGTTCTGATTGAATTTTCTAGGTGCCATTCCCAGTGCCCTCATGTAGGAATCCCTTAACTGGGATGACAAGACTAGTCTGGTGTTTCTCAAAGTGTGGCCCTCAGACTAGCAGCATCAGCATCTTGTTAGAAATTCAAGCTCTCAGCCACCCAGCCCTGCTGTCTCAGGAACTATGGGGGTAAGCCCAGCAATCTCTGTCTTATCAGACCCCCCAAGTGATTCCCATGACTCTGAAGTTTGAGAATTGCTGGCTAGTCTAACAAGGGTTTTAGGCAAGTCCTTCCTAGTAGTTCAAATGCTGCCTGAGGAATAGAGTTAGGCAATCTTTCTTAGGTTCTTCCCATATATTGAGAGACAAATTTGTCTTTTTGCAATATCTCCCCCAATGTCTATCTTTAGTGTTTGGATGTATTGTTTTTACTCTGTGCCGTATCATTTAACAGTTGCTGGAGGAAAAACAGAAGTCAATTCTTTTTATTTGTTCCCATATGAATAAAACTCATATTTGTTTTCACAGAAATTCCTTGTAAGTTTATATTTTCCCTGTAATGCAAATTAACAGTGAGCATGCCTTGAGGCCATTCCTTTTTGTGATTATACAGAAAGAAGACATTGATCCTAAAATAATAATAAAATCGCTCCTACCTTCCATGAGTAAGACGGAGAAGTCCTTTAAGACAGTGATGGTGCTGGCCAAAACCAGGATGGAAAAGACAAACGTGCAGATTGGGTCAGCCATTTTATAGTCTGGCTAGAAAATATAGGGGCTTTGGTTAACTGAATTCAGGCCCCCCATGCAGAAAGTCTGATTAATAAAATAAGCAAATCTTCCTGCTTCCTTCCCTCTCTGTTACCCTCTCACCCTCCTGACACTTGACATCCAACTCAAGGAAGACTTCCTGAAGATCCAATCCTCCTTTTAAGCTTTAAACTATCAGTGACTGAAGGGAGACTACAGGACCTGCCCTCCCTGTAATTTAAGAAGTAGAGGGAAAGATATCCTTGAGTATTCTCTCAAGAGGCCTGATTTAACTTCTCTCAAATTACCGGAAGTATGTTATGAAAATATGCACAAATTTGCACAATATGCAATGACTTTTCAGCCTTAATTATGATGAGAAGAAAGGGTATCATCTGCCCAGAGGTGCATATGACCAAGGTATAGCTGGAGCTTGGTTTGGCAGCTTGGGGTTAGTCTATTTCTTTCTCTCCCAAGTATGGTGCATACTGGAGGCAGGCATCTTTCATACAGTCCTAAGAGTAGGAGCCGGAGCCTCATTCTTGCAATCTCTCCCCCTTAGCCCTTAGCCTCAGGTTGAAATACCTGCTGTTCTGCCCTTCATGAAGTTGTGTGCCACTAAATAAGTCTGTGCCCCATTACCTCTAAGAAACTCAGCATCAACCAAACCTTTGTAAGAGTACTCTCAAACTCCCCCAACCTGTATAATTTTAAACTATTTTGTCTTAAACTTACAGCTTTCAGTGAGCATTTGCTCTACCAAATTCATGTATGTCTTTGTAATTTTAATTTACATGTTTTCACTTTTTTGGCAAGAATAAAGAGTTCTTGCTAACTGGACAATCATGATGTGAACAGACAGAGCTAAATGCTATTCTCCTTGGCTACTCCCCCAACACCTCCACCCTGCCCCACCTCTGTTAGTTCTTGCTATTACCAGATAGAGATCTGTAGTGAATACTTGTCTAGGGTCAGAGGTCCATCCAGGATCCATTTCCACTTTCCATTAGAGCCCTGGCTCTTTGGAGAGATGTTACCTCTCCCCCATTGTGAGTGATATGGCAGGACAGTCAATCAGGTACTGTACCCTCCCCAGCCAAGCAGCAGGTATACAACCCAAGCTAGGTCAATTGGACTCCCTTTCCCAGAAATATGAATCTTCAGCAGAGTGACAAGAACAGGGGAAAAACTAGTTGAGTCACATTCATTTCAGCATGGTGCTGGAACAGAAGTTGGATAGTTTCTGAAATCTAGAGACCAAAAGTTGCCTTATTTCTACCTTCATTTCTGTCCAGGACTACATTCAATAAATTTCAGCCAATGAATCTATTTTTTGCTTAAGTGAGCTAGAGCTCTTTTCTGTTGCCTACAACCCAAGAACCCAACGGTATTCAAGGTTCCTTTGCTGTCCATCTTAACCCCATGACAAAAGAAACTACTTCCTGAAAAACTAGCAGCCATACAGTTAACGACATAGCTCTTAGGAATTTGGAAAGTTCAAGGTTTCAGTCTTTGAGTGTTTGTTTGTTTGTTTAATCTTGCAAAGTAGTTTGTGTAGGCAAAGATAGGCTGTCCACCTTTGTTTAAGTTAATATTAGAGGGTCAGCTTCTATACTATCTAATCTATAAAGTTACTATGACAATGAGTAAACGCAAACATACTCACCTTAAAGTAGATAATAAGTGCACTGGTTAGCACACTGATGCTCTGAAATAGATCTCCAAGGGCATGCACAAAAGCCGCTCTGACACTGGCATTAGCTTGCAGTCCCTGGTGATTGTGGCCAGGGTGTCTCTGGTGCAAAATTACACTTAGCCTAAAGGAGAGAATAGTATTCTCAGCACGTGGGAAATTAACCCCTAAAAATCTAGGCAGAATAATGGAGGAGTTGACATTAGCGTGTATTATCCACAGTGGTAAATAGTTGAAATATTAGTGCTCTAAAATGTACTATTTTGGACTAATTTTGAACACAAGTGTATCATAGAATTTTTCACACAATGACAGATGAGAAAGATTCACCTCAGTTTTCTCATCCATCTATCTAATACTACTCTGTTTCACATTAAAACTGGAAAGCATCACTTCTTAGATGAAAGCCAAGAACTTCACAGTGAGCAGGGGAAATGTTTATTGAGGGTCTGCGAAATGTCAGGCAGTGAGCTAGGCTTAAAGCTGAACTTTTGTGGGAAGTTGATTAAGTGCACTGGTTTTAAAGGCAAAAAGCAGCAGAAAGGGATAAAACAAAATAAGAAGCAGTGAATTTCATGAAGGTCGGATTTTTTATTCTTTTATTTTACTTAACTTTGTTAATATCCATGAGAATTTGAAATTTGAATAATTTTCTAATGGCCAATGATGAGAATACTGTGCTTATGTATATGCAGCTATTTATCAAGAGATTCAAATATATAAATGTATCACAAATGTTTATATTTATATATGATATTGCAAAATTTAACATCTTCTATCCAAGTCAAAGTGGTAAGTAGTGTGTACCTGATTCTATTTATCTACAACTTTAAAAGGTATTAGACCAAAGGTAAAATGAGAACCTTTTTACTGATGGCCACAAGGAGTATTTTGCCTAGAAACTCTTTCTGAACATTTTGGAGCAAAGCTTTAAAAAAAACCATTGTTTACTATCATGCACCCCAGTCTATTTGCAGGTAAATTGTCTGTTAAATCTCATCCATCTCTACAAAGTGGAATTACTGCTACCAAATAAGATTTGATCATTGCACAATGTTAAGTTTTCAGATTGTCAGTGTTTGGGCAGAAATTCACCCTCAATTAGGAGTTCCATTTAAGGTTGTTCAGAAAGCCTGATATAGCTGGCAGTTAATAGGCTCTCTTTTTAGATCTGCCATGTGTGCTCATCACATTGTCATGCATTCTTTTACTCATTTTATTAAAAAAACTTAGTTAGGGATTCTCGTATGTCAGGCACAGTTAATGGGCATAAAGGTGAGTGAAAGCAGACATGGTTCCTCCCTAGTGTTGCTTTAAGGGTGATGGAGATGGAAAAGATTTTTAAAAGACAAACATAAATGGAAAATTCTAATTATAATAAGTCTACTAACAACGGGTGCTATGGATAGTACAACAGAGGAGTCTGATTTAGTTACACAGACAAAGACATTGAGCCCGATTTGAAAAGTTATGTTAGAGTTAAATAGACTAGAAAGGGACAGAATGTTTCAAGCAGAGAAACCTTAGCATGCAACAGCCTTAAGTCTCTGTCAATAATCTTCATCCCAGAATGCCTTTGCAACTTCTATTAGAACTTTCTGCCCTGATTTTGGGTCCCCAAGGAATAGATTTATTCCTAAATTACAGTTCTGATGTCTCTGTTTTCAGATAACACAGCATCAAACAGCACTTGAAAACTGTAATCCCAGTTCTGGGAGAAAACATTAGTGTCACTAAGGATTTTTATCCATAAATAACTACCTACTTGTACTGGGAAGTCGATGCTTTTCAATTCCCTTGTCTTTCTAAGTAAGAAAAGCACCTGAAATGTTAAGGTCAAAGTTGAAAAGCAGTTGCAGTAAAAAGAAAATTTGGCTGGTATCTATTTGGAAAGTCAAACTCGATCATTGAGGTCCCAGATTTATGTGGCAGTTAGCTAGGTATATCCTTCATCTTCATGTAGCATCGACACAACTATGTGACATATGACTCTCGAGAAAGTATTAATATTTTTATTCTTCTTGCTGCCTTGTGGACATATTGTTCTCCTTACACAAAGATGATGTTATTGACCCCCAGTAAGCAGGACATGTGCGCTGGCTTATTTGTCTCCAGTGGTGACAGATTTGCATCGATCTCCCCACACTTTTTCTCCCAGTGCCAATGTGAAACACACTTTCAAGTTAACTGGGTGGAAATAAGGATCTAGTCAGTGACAGCAGATCAAATACCACTCCTAACTGTTTAGCTCAGACATTTGGAACAAAAGTTTGCAAACTAAGAGGTGAGGAACTGAGGCAGGCACGAGGTAAAGGCATTGGAGTGAACTGAGGAGCTTTTTCAAAGTGTCCATGCTCAGATTTTCCTCCACTTCCCTTGTGCCCTCTCTTAAAAACCACTGTTCAAAGTTCTGTCTCTGTCTTCTTCACTTTCATGTATAAACCTACCTCCTAGCATGTATCACATTACATTGCAAGACAGATAGAGGACAGATAGTGCATGAGTTTCCTATTGCTGCTGCAACAAACTACCACAGAGCCTCTGTGGCTTAGAATGCCATAAACTTACTATCTTACAGTTCCGGAGGTCAGAAGTCTAAAATGGATCTGCAGGACTGCATTCCTTCTGCAGGCTCTAGGGCAGAATTCATTTTCTTACCTTTTCCAGCTTCTAGAGGTCACTCACATTCTTTGGCTCCAGGCCCCTTCCACCATCTTCAAAGCCAGCGTTGCAGCATCTTCTCTCCTCTCTGACCTCATGCCTCCCTCTTATAAGGACATTTGTGGTTACATTGGACCTGTCTAGATAATCCAGGATAATCTCCCCATCTCAAGATCTTTGCAAAATCTTAATCACATTTGCAAAAATCTTTGTACTATGAGAGCTAACATATTCAAAAGTTCCAAGGATTAGAATGTGGAAATCTTTGAGGGGCCATTGTTCTGTCACCCACTGTTGATGAATGGATAGATGGCTAGATAGATAGACAGACAGATAGATAGATAGATAGATGATAGAGTTTTAAGTAAGGTTGTCCAGAATCACACTATCAAATGAGAAGGCATGAATTGACTCGAAAGGATCAAAGCTCTGGCCTCAAAACCCCATTGTCATGAGTTAATCAAGTAGTTTATTTTGGAAAGAGTAGATCAATATGAAAATGATCACATATCCAATAGGACATGATCACATGTCCTATAAGAATGATTCAAGACTGCCTGGATAAGGAAATGGGCCTACAGGTGGAAACCAGAGAGAGAATTTAGCTAACACAGCTTACAGAAGAATTTTTATACAGTCACAATGATGCAAAGATAAGATAGGCTGCTTTTAAGAGAAATAAATTCCCTCTTATTGGTTCTGTTAAAATGTGTGAAACTAATGACCATTTATGGGAATGCTGCAAAAGAGAATTGAAAAGTAGAAAGGGGACTGAAAGAAATAAAATTTAAGATCCTTTCTAACCCAGCTCTCCGGGAACCCGTAATGTGTTCACATAACAAAAAATGAACAAGAGTAAGTGACATGTCCTATGGAACCATCAATATGCATGAGAGTAGAATGTCTAAGAGCTCGATTCTGGATCTGGTGGGTCTAAATTCAAATCCTGGTTCTGTACTACCTCACTGGCAATTTATTTAACCTCACTGAGCTTCAGTTTCCTAATCTGTAAAGCAAGGGTGTTGTGATCATTGAGCTTGATAATGTAGATCAGAAGATCTTAGCAGAGTCTCTGGCATATAGGAAGCATTCAAAATGGTAGCTGTTAGAAGCTGGTATTAAAACAATCTTTAACTTAAACTAGCACAACCAGCCTTATTTTCAGTCTTAGAGCCATTTGGGCACTCGGTCAGGTCTCTACCATCCTCAAAAGTGGAGGAATTAAACAAAAACAAAAATGAAAACCACAAATCTATGTCCAGACTAAGTTAAAGACAAGCTTCATGGGCAATGCGTAGGGTGACTTACATAATGTTGGCTGCCACTGCACAACCTGACACGATGATCATCATGGTGGCCTGGATCTGGTAATTGGGGTACAGCAGGCGCTCAAATGCCAGGTACACCAACACACCAGTCACCACCCAGATGCATAGGATGGACAGCAGGGCACCAAGGATCTCTGGGGATTCAAACAAACAGATACTCATATACAAAGAATTTGTGCATCACCTTAACCTCCCCAAGAGTCATAAGACATTAATATTTTCTCCCACCCCAAAAAAGTGGCTTTAAACTAGTTCACTCAGTGATTCACAAAGCAAGAGTGTGGATAGATTTTAACACTAAGATGAGGCACTTTAATGCTGCATTCAGAAAACACCAGTGTCTGACTTCATTCTGCTCCATGTTACTAAGTAATTTCCAGCAAATTTTTAAAGCATATTAATTGCTGCCTGCCCTTGCTATTTTCCTCGGGGATTTTAATTTAAATGGGTGCTAAAATGATTGAAACTTATTAGGCTATGAAGTAATGAGACACAAAGAGTAAAATGTGTTTAGAAACTCTTAAGTTCGCCATAAAATATTTACAACTTGCCAGTGCCAGTCCCTTCTGTGGAATAAATAGTAAAAAGGAAGGCTTCGGAGGGTACTTGATGAAAATGAGTTCCATTTGCCAACTCAACATGTTACAAACACAGAGGCAAGCTCAGAGGTGTATCAACACTCTTAACTGAATTTTAAGAACAACAATAAGGAAAAGAAGGATCAGGATGGAGACATTTACATTAATATTTAAAGATAAGTCAGGGTTCCATCTGCTGCTGAGTTAAGTACATTTGCTCACTTAGGAATTCCTTAATGCCTCACCTTGACCTTGAACTCAACCTTGTAGATAGGTTCTAAAAGCCTCCAAGGGTCTAGAAACATTCTCTGAGTCAGTGGTTAGGCACATTCCATAATTCTGACTTTCCCCCTTTAAGCAGAGCAATATAACATTGTTTCCTAGTGTGGGACAATTGTTTCCCAGACTCCAGTCATTTATGCACAACTTTCATGATTTTTTCCATATCTCCATGCTACGTCTCTTACTAGTCACTTATACTTTCTTTAAGTAAATTCATTTTTTATGCTTAGCTTCTTCCTAAACAAAGCTCTCCATGAAATTACATGTTTGATGTGCTAGTTGATTTTCTAATGCACCCTAGGACATGTAATTATTGTTCATGTGACACTTAAAATCCTCTGTCTCACTACCAGTGGAACATTTCTCACACTATAGGAAATGCTGGTGCAGATGTTTAGGGCATGAGGTCAAGATTCAGACATATATGATCTGCCAGTGACTGGCTGTGTGACTTTAGACAAATAACCTATTTGAGCCTGAGTTTCCTTGTCTATATAGTGAGTTTAATAATAGCATATAATTTCTAACAAGTGGGCGTATTTTATGAGTTGAGTTGTGTCCCCTAAAATTCATATGTGGAAGTCCAAACCTTTAATACCTCAGATTATGACCTTATCTGGAAATAGGGTTGTTGTGGATGTAATTAGTTAAGTTAAAATCAGGTCATACAAGAGTAGGATAGACCTATAATCCAACGTGGCTGATGCCCTTATTTAAAGCGGAAATTTGAACACAGACATGCACACTGGGAGAATGCCATGTGAAAATGAAAGCAGAAAGCTATAAACCAAGGAATGCTAAAGATTGTCAGCAAATCACCAGTTGCTAAGAGAGAGGCATGGAACAGATTTTCCCCTCACAGAACTCTAAAGGAACCAAAGAAACCAACCCTGATAACTCTTGATCTTGGACTTCTATCTTCTGGAACTGTGAAAAAATAAATTTCTCTTGTTTAAGCCACCAAGTCTGTAGTACTTTGATCTGGCAGCCCTAGGAAACTAATACAATATAGAGCAAACACTCAAGAAGTATTTATTATTTTATTAGTCTAGCCAGGCTTTTTAAAAACCCCTTTGCAGAAATTTATGAAAACCAGGCTCAAGGGTTTCTGGTTAGCCAGAAATGGAGCTTGGGTTTGTAGAAGTCAGCTAGGGTGGTTCCTACCCACGAGAGTCTAAATCAGGGTATGGAAGTAGAGTATGACATGACAAAGCCCAAATGCCATTCCAAAAGTCAGGAGTAGGATCAAACATAGGACTAAACAAAGAGTCAAGAATTTTAAAGTAGCTAGTTAGGGAAGGAAACACATTAGGAACCATCAACAGGTGCTACAATTATCACTAAGAAAACTGTTAGAATAGCAGGGTCATCGGGCTGATCACCAGTCTGTGGTTATGCTAGTTCACCTGTATGTCTATAGTGGTGCTGCCTAATGTGGTAACCACCAATCATATGTGGTTATTTAAATTAAATAGAATTAAAAATCCAGTTTTTCAATAGCACTAGCCACATTTAAAGTGCTCCATAGTCACATTATACTCTATATTATAGAACATTTCCCTCAAAGCTGAGAATTCTATTGCACAACACTAGTCTTCCAGAGTGTCAATGCTCATGGACTTCCATGGCCAGGATGAGAAAGTACAAGCAGTGATCTAAATTCTGAGTCCACTCTACCTTTACAAAACAGCTTTGATGAATGGTAGCAGAAAGGGTACAGCAATAAAAACGTATACAGACCAATGACGGGTGCTCAGCCAAAGGTACATATTTTCCAAGTACAGCTCTGTTCAGGGACTGAAAAAGCATCCTCAGATTACATTGTCACAAACTCTCTTTATTGCCTCATCTTTCTCTGAATGTTAAAGGAAAGGCAATTCAAAACACTTGTGATGATAAATTGCTGGGTACGAAATTAGAACTTCCTATCATTCTACACTTGAAAAACCACAGTCCACAATTGTCAGTCTACGAATCGTTTCTGTGTCTAGTGGCACCTTTCGGTGAAGGCTGGCCATGTTAGCATGTTGACCACACGTGCTCTGCCCTCAGATCTCCTTCACATTGATTTTCTCAACCAGTGTGCAAATACAGAATTGTGACTATTTATTCACATGATTTGCACAAAACATTCAGCCAGAAGCTCTTCCAGTTGATATAAGGAATAACACAGACGAGGAGAAGTGGAGAGGCAATGCGTATGTTGGGGAGAAGAGTGGATTGTAAAAAAAAGTAAAAATTTACCAGATAATAAACCCTCATCATGACCTGGGCCACTTCCTAGAGAGGAACAAGCAATTACTCAGAGGAAGAACCATTTCTAAGAAAGCAAGACAAGTCATATTTCATTCCCTCCTCTACCTCCTCCTCCTCCTTCTTCTATTTTTGTTGTTACTGTTGATGATTGAATGAGCAAGATGTTCAGCTGAGCCATTCACTGAAAGCCCATGTTCTATTGCCAACTCCCCTATGAGAAGTTGTTCAGTTTCTCCAACTCTCATGGGCTGTCTGTGCCCTACTTTGCCAAATGGTACAAGCTTTACCCCATCCTCTCTCCAAGATGCAGAGTGATGTAATGAATAATATCATGGCTCTTACCACACACTGACATCCTTGGGCTGGCGTGATTGCTAAAGTGATACCTGTGTTCCTGTTGTCCCATCGGAGTAGAGGTAGCACCTTTAATCTGGCTGTTAACTGAATTAACATTGAGAACACACATTCTCATATACACATCTATTTTACTCAGTGTGCCACAGATGTGCCTCTAAGGGATTTTCGAACAAGGCTTTTCTTTGTCCCTTCCATTTTTATCTTTGGTTTGACTCTGCAGCACTGCTCTGTGTCAATGCTCGATGGTGTACTGTACCTGCTCGATGCCATCCAAATGTTAGCCGCTTGGAGGGGGGCTTCGATGACAACCACAAGGAGAAGAGACTTAGCAGGAAACTGGTCAGATCAATTAAGAGGTGGGCAGCGTCTGTGATGACAGCAAGACTCCCAGCAATGTGCCCACCTAGGGGTTGCAGAATATTACACAGGGTTAGGGCCCCGGAGGGCAAGGAGATTCATATGCATACTAATCATAGTTGGTGAAAATGCCACAGACTCACAGAACTTTAGAAGAGATAGGGTCTGTATGTTGACTTAATCCAACTCTTCTTCCCAATATGACAAGTAAAGAAACTGAGACCCAGAGAGTGGGGGGGATTTGAACATGTTGAAATGAATTTCAAGGGGGAGGCCATTCATAGGGGGGCGAAGGTACAGAGACTGGAAAGTGTGGGGCACATTTAGAGAACATCTCATTTAGACCAGGGCATAAGGATTCAAAAGAGGAATACAAAAGGATGCAGCTGGAGAGGTGTAGGCCAGATTCAAAGAGTCTCACACTCGTCCAGACTGAGGACCTGGACTTTTGTCTGTAGTCTAGATACCACAATCTGGCCCAGTGATGTGTTTTTATTTGACTTGTAATTTTACCATAGTATTTACCACTTCCTTCTGCTCTACCCGTTTATATTATCCACCTGAGTTCGAGACCCCTGTTATGAATAGTGGTGAGCCATTAGGAGAAGGGGCAGGCACTCTCCAGTGGGGTTCTTGAGCGCAACAGCAATCCAATAAAGCCTGAAAGAGAACCCAAGCCATGGCTCCATCGGATGTCCACCCTCTACTTCCCTCTTCTTATCATTTGAGGAAAGACCTCCAGCCTCCAAAATAGAAGTCAAGGGAAAAACCTTATCTTTTCCTTCCCAAACAGGGCTTGTAGTTTGAAAGCAATAACCTCTGTTGCTCTTACTACAGCTTCCCAGCAAAGAGCTTTTGCTGACTGATTAGTGCTCCCAGCAGCTGTTTATTGCCTTGTGTACTACAAAGTGATGGAGACTGTCAGTCATCAGCCCCTCCATCATTAGACTCACCTTGTCTCAGCTAATGATTTAAAAAAATTACATATATGGCTCCTAATTGCAATAATCCCCACAGACTGCTGGCTCTAGCTGTAGTTAATAACTGGTTTGTCAAGTTTAATGGTCTGAAGCAAAGTAGTCTTCAAGCTTGTTACTGAGCTGTCAGTACAAAAATCAGAATGATTCATTAGCCAAAAAGCAACATTTTGCTAACAAATCAGCTGTCCTTCCAATTATCCTCCAATGTTGCTCTATGTGCCAAACTTGGGCCTGATAATAAAACTGTGTTAATAATGCATTATTTCTTGCCTAGAGAATTGACTACATGCAGATAAGCAGCATGCCACAGTCTCAGCAATGAGCGAAGGCGATGATTCTATGTGCTGGGCTAAAATTGTAGCCTACATCAAGGAAACGAAGTCGTCTAGGGTTTCTTCAACAAGCTCAGCTGAGTCAGGAGGCAACTGAGGAAGGAAAAGGGCTTGCTTTGGAAGAAGCGTCTTAATATGGAGGCCCAGGTAACTGAGAACAATTTTGCAACCTCAGAGGTACTTATAGGAACAATCCAGAAAACTGTGGGCAATCATGCTAAATCCTATGGAGCAAGTTGTTTGCAAGAGGTAGTTTGTCACTGAACCTGCATTTGCTTCTGAAAGCATGAGGTATTATTGACAATTAATTCAATCGTCCAGCCGGTATTTATTGAGCCCTTACTGTGCACAGTACAGGGATAGGGCATACACAGATAAACAAAGTTAAACAATTCACCGTCCCTGTCTTTAATGATATCACTGTCTATCACTCACTGTCCTGAGACACGCGTAAATGGACTAGGGGATCAGAAAGCCACTCTCACTGGGACCACTGAACAGCTTTTCACAGGAGAGAGGGGTAAGAATTAGCTAGAGGAGAAGGGTTTTTCAGGAAGAGACAAAAGCAGGAACAAAAACAGAGAGAAAAGAAAGAACGTGGCACCTTGTGGAAAAGCAAGAAATATGGCGTGTTGGAGGAATAATGAGAAATGAGACTGGAAAGGTGGGTTGGGGACCCTTGTGAGGGATATTATGTGTCATGCCGAAGAATTTGAATGTTATCCTTTGGCTTAAAGGGATCAACTTACGGTTTTGAGGCAAGGCTCTCACATGTTCAGATCAATATTTAAGAGAGAGATCTTTGCCAGAAATATGGAGGCTGACTTGGAGGGAGGAGAAGCTGGAAGTTAAGGCACAATAGTAATAACCAGAGGAAATTATGATAAACCTGTGAAGGAGGCTGTAGCAGTTGTATTTCTGGATTACTTGGCAAGATGTAGAAAGCAATGCACTTATAACAAGATAGGAGAGGAACTAAGGACAAAGTCCTGGAAACAGACTCTTCTTAGGGCCTGTGGGGTGAAGATAACCGTAGGAAAGCAGGGGAGCCATTCGTCCTGGATCTTGTATTCACCTCAGATTTAGAGAGTTGGTGTTAAGTGCACATGAGGTTTTCCATAGAGAATAGGACATACTGACAGGATTGAAAGAAGTAAATGTTCATCTCACAACATTAGCCTTGTGTCCCCTTAGTGGACCACACCACCTGTCTTTGGAATAGCATTATTATACTCTACACCATATTACATCAAAAACTCATGGAGTTATTATTGAACAAATATTTAAAATACACCCCAATTTGCATAGGCATGTTTTGACATTTCTTAAATTTTTAATTCCAGTAACTTCAAAAAATATGAGTAGCCTAAGCCACTGAGACACCCTGGCTCTGGCACAAAGTCAGTTCCCTTATCAATAAAGCTTGTGGTTATCACACTACCCAGCTATAGCTTTCTCTTACTAAGAGAGATTTAAAAAAAAAAAAAATCCTGTCTGCCCCCAAGAGGGAGCTGCTCCCAGCTCTATATTCCTGTCTATCAATCTGGTGTTTTCTCCATCCTTGCTTGACTCTAAAGGGTCTTGCTTCAAGATGCCTTTCTCTGACCACTCTCTATTTCTTCCAGTAATGTTCATACTTGAGCTTATTCTTCTGAGTGTATGTCTATCTTTTTTTGGTGGGGAAGAGTTACCCTGTTGCCAATTTTCCTCTTTTTTTTTTTTTTTTTGATTACCCTGAGCTAACATCTGTGCCAATCTTCCTCCACTTTGTACGTGGGATGCCTCCACAGCATGGCTGATGAGTGGAGTAGGTCCGTGCCCAGGATCTGAACCCACGAACCTGGCCACTGAAGGGGAGCACATGGAACTTTACCCACTTGGCCACAGGGCCAGCCCCTATGTCTATCTTTTTAAATAGAGATACATGTTTACATCTACAATGTAACTCCTCCTTATGAACTTTCTATGATTAGGAATTTCCACAAGAAATCAGACAGAGTCCCAATTCACCAGGTTCAAAGGCCCATTAACAACGGAAGGATTGAAACTTATAGCTTTCTTTAATTTCTTCCTCCAATCTGCTCTGCCTCCTATGTCCAGTTATCTCACTAAACACAACTCTATATCCTGATTCTTCCCTATTCTAAATGTCAACTACTCCCCAAGGCCCACAAAATGAATCCAGATTCCTCAGTCAGGCCTCATGGTCCTTCTTGACCCCCAGCTACCATTCTAGGTAATTGTCTACCATTCCACCAACCGTGTTTTACCCTACACCGCTGCCTTAGATAGGTTCCTTCAGTTGTAAGTCATAAATGCCTGGCTCAAACTAGCTTACACAACAACAAAATGAAAATCTATCGGCTCAAATAACTGAGAACAATTCTGGATAGGATTGGGTCAGCTGCAGCTTAATCCAAAGGTTCAAAAAATTTTGTTGGTGCTCTGCTCTGTCTCCAACTATGGCTATTTAATGTCCTACTGAAGACAGACCTCCTCTCCCTCAGGAAGAAAGGTGGGCCTGTGGAAGCTCCAGGTTTATATCATTTCAGCATAGCATTTTAGAGGAAAGAGAGCTTTTTTCCAGCCTCCTTATATAGAGACCCAGAGACTCTGATTAATCAAGCTTGGCATCTCATACCCAGCCTTGTGCCAGGAGGACCAGAACAGCAATCAACACAATGAGTATGAGAAAGCTTACTGAACAGGCAGTACCAATCCACTACAAACAGTGGCACCCAAATGTGGCTACACATGAGAGTCACTTGAACTGCTTTCTAAGAACACAAATTTCCTGTCCTGATGCAGACCTACCCAGTCAAAATCTTTCAAAGTCTTTTCCAGGTGCATCAGGTACTTCTCATTCAGGCCCCTCCACCTGAAAAGCCCTTCTCATCTCCCTTTTAGCTGCCTCTCAATTCCTAACCATCCTTCAAGGCCTTGCTCAAATCCCACATCCTGCAGGAGGACCTCCCAGATTCCCAAAAGTGATCTGAGAATCATAATTACTTTCTCCTCCATGGTAAAAAAAAAAAAAAAAAAAAGGCTTTGGGGAGCTATGGGTTGGGGTTGCAATTGATGGCCAGGGTTTTGGTGAGTGAGTGTGGGGAATGAAGAGAGGGCTTCTCCACTCAAACAAAAAAGCAGAAGCAAAAGCCTCAGAGACTTTAGGTAGAGTGATTATTTTGTGTAGAATGAATAAATAGCTGAAACAGAAGAGTCTTTCAGGAAAGTAGTAAAAGAAAAAGGTTGATAATCAGTTTGGCAGTCAGATGGTGGAATGAGTTGAAAGCCAAAGTAAGAATTTTTCATTTTGTCCAGGATGCCAGAGCTTTCCAATATAGTGGTGTTTTTTCACTTGGAGCAACCAAGTGGGGCCTGGCACAGAGGAGCGCCTGAAGCAGCCTCTTCCTGCTACCAGCACCCTTGTCAGTTTTCCCCAGTACTCAGTAGAATTTCCTATGTTTGCCGTGATGGGGACAAGGTGGTGAAGCACTGAACCAGGCAAAGGGGAGCCATTGAAGAATTTTGAAGACAGAATTAACATGATGAGAGTAAAGTTTTAGGACAATCAGCTCAAAATCAGTACAGCTCTAATTCCAAATGATTGTCTGTCAGTGTCCATTTAACTCCTTTACTGACAACATCTCTTTCTTCTGACTCTAAACTAAAGTCCATTTAGAAATCATAGACTAATTATTAGGAATGAGAGCGAAAGGAGAAGATTGATTGCTCACTCCAACTGAATAGCTCCCCATTTTACCTCTAAAAATATAAGTCATTTTAAAAGCAAAATAACAGGGCATGAGGAAAGGTACCAGGAGAAAAGTGAGTTTTGTGAATAGGGAGACCATCTCTTTTCTAACTATTGATTAGACATCCGCTGGAGAGAAGATGCCGTATATTCTCAACATCCACATGGACTCAGGGAAAAGCAGAGGAAGAAAATCTTGGAGGAAATAAGCCAGTTTATACATCTTCCCAAGCTGTGTTTGTATGGGGTGGTTCCAGTACTTTATTTGGAAAGCTATGAATTTCCAGAACATCACCTTTTCAAATCATGTTTCAAATGGATTCTGTTTTTTTTTAGATAGTCTATTTTGTTGATCTCTTATATGAGGAATTGCATATTGTCCACAATCTTATGAATTTCAATAATAAAAAAGAATACCCCTCTAGCATAGATGTCAATGGATTTCCAAAGGTAGTTTTCCAGATTGAAACTGCTAAAAGTAAATTCTTTGCAACTTCATCAAGTTATTAAGTCAGTTCATTCAAAAGGCTTACCCTGGCTCTAGCAATTATGTGGTATCAATTATTTTCATAAACTTTGACTGAAATGTTATTTACCAACCCTGGGTTTGTCTTGTACTGGATGAGTCTAAGTTCTTTTCCAGTTTTCAAAAGCTGTAGAAGTCTGAGTATATAGGTTATAAGATTCTATAGTTTGAAGAAACCAATTAATTCTGATTGCTTGCTATTATAGTGCAAAAAGATAGCTTAGCTGATTCTATTTTCCTACAATCTCAGACTATGATTAATTTAGGCCTCTTTTTGGGTACTAGAGAGAATGAAGCTAAAATATTGGTGACAGAGTGTAGCAGGTAATAGTGGTAACAGAGCGGTTGTACTTTATGGTACTATATGCCAGATAGCTTGTAATATGCTTTTTATTTTTGGTAAAACAATAATAAATAAGACAATATTGCATTTCAAAATCTTTAGACTGAGTAAGCTCATAGCTGCATGTAACTTTATTATTAATAAAAAGAAAGGAGAAAATATATTAAATAAGGATATAACTTAAGATACTAAAATATACAATAAGAATACAACCCTTACAAAAGAAAGATGGAGGAAGTAAAAATAATTTTAAAGCCAAAATTATGAATTAGAAAAACAGAAGAAAAATTAAAATAATAATATATTCAAAAATGAATTCATATATGGATAACATAGACATCTACCAAGTTAAACCAAGGAACAGAAGAGAAAATATGTAAACAATATTAAAATGAAAAAGGAGCTAGAATAAATAAGAGAATGGCAATATGAGACTATCACGTTCCATTGAATGATTAATACATTTGAAAATTTCCATGAGATGAATGACTTTGGAAAAACATAAATGTCCAAAATTTACTCAAGGTGTAGAAATGTTGAGTATGTCAAAGAGTGAGGAAGAAGTTAAAAAGCATATCAAAAAATTATTTCCAAGAATGTCTCCAAAGCCAGACAATTTATGAGGAAGTTCTTAAAAAGGAAGAGATAATTACAATGTTGTATAAACTGTTTCCATTTTTTAATAAAAAAGGAATTATTAAAACTAAGCTTTCCATTTTAATATGCATAACTCTGATTCAAAAATCTGGAAAAATAGCTCTCAAACAGAAAACTATAGTTAAATTTCAATGATCAAAATGGTGTAAAAATCCCAACAAAAGTATTAGTGACTCCAATTGACCAATGCATTAAAAGAACCGTCCACCACGGTCAATCTGGGAGGCACCATAATGAAAGCCTAAGAACATGAGCTCTGGAGTTCTGACTGCCCGCCCACTTCCAGGGGTGTTACTGAAGAAGAGTACTCTACTCTTTGTGCTTCGTGTTTCTGGTCTGTGAAGTGCAATTAATAATAGGATCTACCTCTCACGAATTTCATCAGGACTAACTAAGGCAACACATGGAAAGCACTCACCAGAGTTCCTGGCACATAGTAAGCATTAAATATTAGCTGTTGTCATCATAACGTCAGAAATACAAAGATCGTATTATATTAGGAAATGTCCGAAGATAATACACATCAACAATGGGTCAAAAAGTTTTTTAAAAGAATATATTTAAAAGAAAAGATATTTGATCAAAGTCAACACTCATCCTTGATTATTTGTTAACCGTTAAAAAGCTAGGGCAAGGAGAGCACTTCATTAACATAATAAAAATACTTAACCCCTTAGGACACATATTACTTAACAGTTAAACAGTTGAACATACAATTTGATTTAGCATAAGATATTATTTAACATGATAAAAAAATGAAACATGCAGAATAGATATAACTATTAGAAATGAGGAGAAATACGTTTTTTGCACAAGAGAAGGTTATCTCCAAGGATGGGGAGGATGGATGAGAGGGGGACAAAGAAAATGGACTGAGATAGATTTAGAATGACAATAATTCAAATACACTGTTGAGTACAAAGTGAATATACAAAATGACAACTTTCCAGAATACAAAGAGAACCATTTAGAAAACAGGACACGAGAAAAGGAAACCACCGCTCACCTCTGGAAAGAATAAAACAAACATGTAAAATAACTATAAATAAGTCTAGCAAGAAATAGGCTGTCCCTGTGTTAAAACAAACAAACTAACTAAAACCACAAAACCTTAAAGAGAGACGTAGAGTATTTGGATAAATGGAGAAACATACCATATTCCTGCAGGGGAAAACTGAGTATTTTAATGAGATTTGTGTTCTCAAATTAATTTATATACCAATAAAATCATAATTAGATTTGGAGGGAACTGAACAAAATGATTTTCATGTTTAATTAGAATAATAAGCAGAAATGAATAGCTTTTACCTTTTTTCTGCTAAACAAAGAACAATGAGGAAAAAACAAGATATTATAGCATGTAAATCTACATTAGTTAAATATGTTACTACTGACAGATACCAGAAACACAGCTCAATGAAACACCTCAGAACCAAGCCCTATTATTTATAAAAATTTGATAAATGAGAAAAGAAACATGGAGGAAATCAATGGAGGAAATAATTAATTATTCCACAAATGATGCTGAAATTTTGTTAGCTATTTAGAAAAAGAATTTTCAGTCTTTAGAGCATATCTAATTTCACACTGATTTAAAATTAAATGCAAAAAATTGAACAACAAAATGATACTTATCTTCTCAATACATAGGAAAAGCTTACAAAGCATTAAAATAGGGAAAGAGGAGTAAAAGAAATCAGTTCAAAATGAAATATTTGATATTGCCTATATAAAATTTGAGACTTCTTTAAGTCAAACCATAAATTAACCAAAAATTAAAAAGCAAACAACATATTGGAATAGTACTTATAACAAATGTAACAAAAAGTTTAATATCCTAACTATATAAAGAGCTCCCAGAGATCAATGTAGAGAATTACAAATTGTCTTTTAAAAAAAGAGCAACAGACAATAATAGGCAAGCAGGAAATGCATTAACAGAGGGAAATACAGATCACCAATAAGCATGCAAAAAATATTCTAACAGTAACAATTAAAGACATTTATATTAAAATAAAGCATAGTCACTCTGAATTAACAAAGATTTTTAAAAGATTAAAATAAGACCTGGTAAAGAGTTGGAGAGAGAATCATTCTCATGTAGAGCTGGCAGACATATGAATTGTTTCCAGTTTTCTGGATAACATTTGGCAGCTTGCATCAAGAAGTAATAAAAATATTTATGTCCTTCAACCAATTGTTTCCACTTTGAGGAAGCTCTTTGAAGGGATTAACGAGAAAAGCAGGCAGAGTTTTATTCAAGATTTTTCATTGCAGCATTGTCCATAAGTAGGAAAAAACTCCCTAAATTTCTAACAATAGAGAGATGGTTATGTAAATCATAGTGGAGCATATTATAGAATACTGTTCAGGCATAAAATGTTTTTGAAGAGTGTTCCTGGCATGGTCAGAAGCATTCAGTATGCTCTCAGTTATGTTTAAAGAAAAAACAACCTGTGAGCTATGAATAGAAAATATATTGTACAAAAATACTCCATAATGTCATTGGAGGTTATCACCGAAAAGTGAGATAGTGATGAATTTTATTTCGTTTCCTTCTATTTTCCAACTTATCTACAACCAGCACATTGTTACTTTATATTTACAGAAAATATTAAATCTTTTTTTAAAAGAAGGACTTAGGTAACCCTCCCGTATGATGCAGGGTTTTGTTTGTTGCTTATTTAATCAGAGAAGGCTTCTGGAGAAACACTCACCCACAACCTCTGCAATCATGAAAACAAAGCATATTCCCGAAGCAGCGCAGAGTTTCCACTTGGCATAGACGTGCTCGTCTGCCCTGTTCTCTGTGGCCTTGGAGTTGCTGTGGCAGTGATAGATGGCTCCCAACTCCGGCTCCTCTGGCTTCTCTCCAGGACATTGATCTTTATTCAAGGGTTTCTGCTGGAGTTCCACACTATGGATGAATTTGACAGAAGCACGAAGTGAACATGGTCGCGAACACCTCACTGAGCCCTACCCACTCTCGGAACCACTATTAGGACATTTGCTAATGAGCTAGAAGTTATAATTCATAGCTGCTTCTCCAAGAAACAGCAAGTGTAAGGAACAAGCGAGAAATTTCCTTTTGAATTCGCAACTACTAAACGTTTTGCTTTTATTCAGTTAAGGTCTTCAGTCTATACCACCAGTGATTAAGAGATATCAAAGGAACAGGAGAAAAAAAACAGATACACCTTGATGCATTTCCTTCCCTGTTACTTCCCTTTGAAAAAATTTGGACATTGTACCACCAAAAAAAAAGGACTGGGGGTCAATGTTAGATATGTGTATATAAGCCAGCCTGATGATTCAAATACCCACTATTGCATGCCATCACCCTCCCTTTCTTTCCATGGCAACACTGTTAATAGATCACAGCATTTCTTCCTGCTGAGTCCATATGGATCCGCAGAAACCTTCTTAACACAGCTTTGCTGACAATTTCTACCAATCTATCAAAGTTGTAGTGAGAGTTAAATCTCCTTATACTCCCTAAAGTAGGCAGTGCATATCAGTGCTGCTCAAATATAAAGAATTAAAGTCTTTTATAGATTTAGAGATTTTCACAGATGAAAAGATTGTAAATAACATTTAGTCTAACCCCATAGTTTCTTAGCTGAAGCAATTTAAGGTTCAGAGAGGTCAAGTAATTGCCTGAGCTCAAATAGTCAGGAAATGGCTGAGCTGGGATTCCATGCCTGGTATTTTTTTCCGGCACGCCCCACACTGCCTCTGCACCTGAACATCAGTTACCCAAAACCAGTCTTTACTGATGCAAGTGTCAACGTCCTCGGATCTTGAACTAATCAAATTTTAATTTTTTAATTAAACTTATTAGAAGACATTAGTAAGATTCTTAGAATTAAGAACTTTGCATTTGTGGCTTTGAAAGGTATAAAACCAGAAATAAATTAGTCCCCACTTGAGGAGCTATTTTCATTTGTCTTATCACCATCTGGAATTAAAGACCTGGAGGGTTTGATTATTATGACTTTAGTTATCACTGTATTTGTTTTTTTTCTGAATAAAATAACATACATTCATTATGGAAGATCGGGAATTACAGAAAAGCACTAAGTAGAGGGAAAAATCACTGGTAACCTTACCTCCAAGAGACAACTATTATTATTTTGTTATTTAGCTTTGTAATATATAAACATACTTTTTTTTTACATAATTAGAGGCCAATATTAATTAGGATGTTTTTGATTGCAAGTGCAGAAAACAAAGCTCATGCTGAATTAATTAATAAATGGGAATTGTTGGTTCTGCAGCTGAAAACATCTAGAGCTATCAGGATTTAGGCTCATTTATCAGGGCTCCTGGTCCATCGCTCTCCAGTTCTAACCATGCTTCAGCCTCAGCCTGGTTTTCCTCATGGTGGTGGAATGGTTGCCCAAGGTAATCAGGGCTACTTACTTGCTTTTTCTTTTTTTTTTTTTATTTTTTTTTTAAAGATTTTTTTTCCTTCTTCTCCCCAAAGCCCCCCAGTAAATAGCTGCATATTCTTCATTGTGGGTCCTTCTAGCTGTGGCATGTGGGACGCTGCCCCAGTGTGGCTCGACGAGCAGTGCCACGTCCGCACCCAGGATCCGAACCAACGAAACACTGGGCCTCCTGCAGCGGAGCGCGCGAACTTAACCACTCAGCCACGGGGCCAGCCCCCTTACTTGCTTTTTCTTATACGGGGAGAGTGTCCCTTTTCCCAGCTGCTAAATGAGAGTCCTGAGTTGCATAATGATTTGACCAAATGAGAGCCAATCTCTATAGTCAGAGCAAAATGGATGGGCCAATTGGCTTAAACTTTGTTACAGTCAGAAGATTGGCTAAACCCAACCGTGCTGACTCCTAGAGCTGAGAGTGGAGCCAATGCTACCACATCACATAGCTGCAATTCAGTGGAGATGGGCTAGAATCGATTGTGGGTGAAATGACAGTGTCACAATAAAATCCTACCAAAGACACAGCTTTGGAACCTTATTCTTAGCTGTATATATTGTTAACATTTTCTCAATTTATTAAATATTCTACATTGTTATTTCTAACATACAGATAGCATTACATTTAATATAGATACGTCCCAATGTTATTAACTGATCTCCTATTATTAGACGATTCATTGTTTTCCAATTGTTTGCTCATATAAGCACCACCATGATTCATATCCTTATAGTTAATCCTTGCTCAATACATTATTATTTCCTTAAAATGTAGTCCTAAAAGGGGAATTACGTGGTCAAAGAGTACCTACATTTGTAAGAATTTTGATGTATATTCCCAAATTGGCTTTGAGATGTTTGTACTGATGATGTTAATAGCACTCTAGATTTTGCACAGTTCCAAATAATATTCATATTGGAAGAAGAACAATTTGGCAAGAGGCACATAGAGTATCAATATCTATAAATTTTTGCTTTTGTAATGTGATACATACTCTGATAACAAACAACCATATGATGTAGCAGTGTGGGTGATCAATGGTCATCAACTCAGAGGAGCCTGAGAACTAATAAGAAAACCTGGTGGAGGTTTCCTCTTTCCTTATGCTTAGAAGGCAGCATGAGCAAGACAGGGTCACCAAGTGTTCTGGCCCTGTTTATATGATCACTGGTTTACTGCGGTCATATGAAAGTTTACTTTATTTTATATTTTTCATGAACTTTGTGGCTAGAGAAAACCAGGCGGTAAGTGACCAGGAGAGAGAACTTGTCCTGGGCAGTTTAGAAGGCAAACCAAGTTCACTGATTATTTCTTCTGCCAGCTCATATCTACTGCTGAGTGCTTTCATTCCATTTATTGTACTTTTCAACTTCAGAATTTCCATTTAGTTCATTTTTATAATTTTTATCTATTTTTATTGATATTCTCTATTTTATGAGACATTGTCATCATACCTATCTTTAATTCTTTAAACATGATTTTCTTTAATTCTTTGAACATATTTATAATAGCTGCTTTAAAATCTTTGAATGCTAAGTCCAATATCTTGGTCTTCCCAAAGGCGGTTTTTATTACATGATCTTTTTACTGTGTATAGGTTATTCTTTCCTGTTTTGTTGTACATCTAATGATACTTTTCTGAAAAGTGGATGTTTTAGATAATACATTGTAGCAATTCTGGATACTGATCCCCCATGGGCTTGTTGTTGTTGCTATTTACTTGTTTGCTTTTTTGTATGCTCAGTGACTTGGCTTGTCTAGTTCAGTGGAGTCTATTTCCTCTGACTTTCCCTGCATGTGCAGCCTCTATTGTCATTCCCCAGAGAGTGCAGCCTTGGGCATGTGCACAGTTATCCTTAGTTGCCCCCACCCCTTTGCCCAGGGATGGTGATCACTTTAGTCATGTTTGCTTTGACTATCTTTTTCCGTGGTCTCACTGTTAAGGTTCTGGCTGCTCTGCTGTATGGGTTTCACACCCATCTGTTGGCCTTCTTAATCACTCGCTAATTGCTCTACTGTTTTCAACAATGCCCTGAGGCGTAAATAGCTCCACATTCAGGTCCAATTGAAGTTGGGCCTTGTATTAGTCTGCTTCAGCTGCTATAACAAAATGCCACAGACTGGATAGCTTAAACAACAGAAATTTATTTTCTGATAGTTCTAAAGGTTACAAATCCATGATTAGGATGCTGGAAAATTTGGTGTCTGGTGAGAACTCTCTTCCTGGCTTGTAGATGGCTGTCTTCTCGTTATGTACTCCAGTGATAGAGGGAAAGATCTCTGGTGTCTCTTCCTCTTTTGTAAAGACACCAATTCTATCATATAAGAAATCCACCCTAATATCCTCATTTAACCTTAATTACCTCCTTAAAGGCCCTATCTCCAATACAGTCACATGGGAGTTAGGGCTTCAACATATGAATTTGGGAGTGACAAAAACATTCAGTCCGTAACAGCTTCCTTTACAGGGGTGGTTTTGAGGCCAATCTTATTGGCTTGTGCCAACTCCAGGAGGGCTCTTTTTACCTCTGTCTTTCCCTGGCTGTTTCTGTTACACATCCAGCCAGTCTACCATTTAGCTTGTTGCTCTCATGGAGCAACCAGCCTATACTTGATTGCTTACCAGCTAAATCTTCATTGTTTTCAACAGTGCCCTTATGCTTGAAATTCTCCATGTTCTGTTCCAAATAACTTTGAGCAAATGTGTCATCAGTCCTCTAAGGGAAAGATGTATAGCTCTGTTCTTATGTCCTGCCTCTTCCCATGGGTAGAACTTCTGCATCACTGCACCAGAACTGGGAAAAGGCACAGTGACCTACTTCTCCTGGAGTGACGCCTCTGCTCTATAAGTGGGTGCTGAAGTGCATGCCAGGGCAGGGATGTTCATGACCTTGCTGCTCCTGGACTAGAGATTTTTGTCCTATGAGTAGGGACTGGGTAGAGGAAGGGGACTCCAGTCATCTTGGCCATGTCTGCATTGAATGGAGCTGGGACAATGGGAGATTTCAGCAGCCTTTTGCTGTAGCGGTGAACTGTAGCCCTCAACTAGCAGAGGGCAGAGGGATCCCTGTCTTTTGGTCATACCCACCAAGAGTAGAGCTTCCATCACACTGAGCTTGGAGGAGAGGGAGGTTAATGGAGCAGATCATGGCTCAAATGCCGCAGACTCTTGTTTCTTACTGAGGTTTAGTAGATTTTCATAGTTCCCAGTTTTCTGTATGTCCTTACGCCCTTAAGACAATTTCCAAAGACTTTACATTGTTGGGGTTTTGTTTTAAATATAATTTTTATCAGTTAAATGGTTGTTTCACTATGGAAGGAGGTCCACTGAGCTCCTCACACATGATTCCAAAAGTTCTACCATCCTCCCCCCACACACAGACTTTTAAAGCTTCATACCGAAAAGATTCTAGCAATTTGTCCCCACCATATGTCCCTGCCCTCACATCCCTTGCACTTCTTTAATTTGTGACTTGGGAAAAAGAGAAACTTTATCCCTCCTATCCAGCACCAAGAAAACCATATTGACTGTGTAGATCAACTTTATACAAGTATCTCTTTGTTACCATGAGCCCAAAGCATATGGCATCACATCACTGAAATGCAAATTTGGGGGGACAGCATAGGAGGCTACACAATAGTGTTCATGGCACCTAGAGGGCCCAATATTACTACTTCCTGTGGTAAAAATGTTTGTAAAAATGACATCCAACAATTTTAGTCATCCTATATGCACATGCCATAAAGAGATGGAATCTATTGTCCCACCCATTAAATCTGGGAATTGGGACTTGCTTTAAGCAATCAAATGAGATAAAAATGATGCCGTGCCAGTTCTGGGCTTAAGCTGTCTGAGAACTGTCAGATTCCACTATTGTGCTCTTGCTACCCTGAACTACTACATAACAAAGTCCGGGCTAATCTGATAAAATGAGACACCACACAGAGAGAGAAGGAGAGGGAAGGAGAACAAAGACCTGTCAAAGCCAACACAAAGACCTCAGACATGTGAGTGAAGCCATCCTGGACCTTCCAGCACAGCCCAGACACCAGCAGAATGCAGCCTCATGAGTGAACTTAGCTGACTCCACCTGGAGCCCTGCCCAAACCCTGACCCTTGGAATTGTCAATAATAAAATGATTGTCATTTAAGCCACCAAGTTTTGGGGGTAGTTTGTTGCACAGCAATAGATAAATGAAATACTCCTTTTGTAGAATTAGATGATAAAGATTCCTTCAGGTTAAGTTTCTTAACAGCTGGTAACAATTTAAATAGAAAGCTGATGATAAGTAGAAAAAAAGAGAAGGAAGGAGAAAAGAGAAGGAATATCAGAGGTCAAAGTTATCTAAGAAATAGAGAGAGAACCAAAACATGAGAAAGGAGGTTAGGGGAGGTGACAAAAGGAAGGGAATAGGTGAGGAAATCAAGGTACACGTGACCTCACCAGGAAATAGATTAAGGATCCAGGAAGCCACATGGTGAGAGTGTGTGTGCGGAAGAGGGGGGGAGGGAGGGGAACACCAAGTTCACAGACAGGTGGCATGGGTCCAGACCCCAACTCTGCCAGAATTAGACCTCTGACCTTAACAAAGGCATTTATTCTCTATAGAATTCAGTTTCCTAACTGGTAAAATGAGGGATCAGGAGGAATCATCTCTTCCAGGTTTAATTGTTTTAATTTGAAAAGAAAATAAAAATGAGTTTGACAATTTTTATCGTTACAGTATCCTGAAAAGCATACCCATTTATGAAGTGGATGAGACCCTGTAACTGAAAATAGTTGGCTTTATTTGCATAACAGAGTACTAATGATGTATTTTAATGAGGAGGGAAATACGTTATTTTAACAATGTAGAGATGCTCTCTTAATAGCATCCATGGTGTTAACGATTTGTCGTCCAAAATTTCTGCCTGACCTAAAATGAGACTGTTGTTTATGATCTCAAGAAATCACATCTAATATTATTTTCTAGGGGAAAAAAAATTCTTATAATGGGAGATAATAGGTGTGCTAGATTCTTGGTCATACATTTTTAAAACAAAGTTATAAATATCCTGAGAAAAAGTCTCTCTGCAGTTGCTTAAACATTTGATGCTATCAAACATAACGTTGCTACTCTGTAGAATATTAATCTGGTTCCATGAAACAAACAACAACGTTACGTATATTATTAGTGGGTAAGTATTCTCGTCAATTCTGCTCCTAACAGGACTTCATTTCAGATTTTCATTCATTCATCCGTATGTACTGAGTGTGTTTCTCTTTGCTCCCCACTTGGATTGAACTTCTCAAATATGCTGCCTCCATCTTTACCAGGCAGTTATCTCAGCCTGAAAAACTTTCCCTAACCTTACATCTCATGTAGGGTTTCCCTAACCTTCCTCTAACTCCTTTCTATTTTTCAGTTCTCAGCCTATCACTTCTTAAAAGCTTTCTCTGGGGGCGGGCTCCGTGGCCGAATGGTTGGGTTCGCGCACTCCGCTGCGGCAGCCCAGGGTTCGGATCCTGGGCGCCGACACTGCACCACTCGTCAGGCCACGTTGAGGCGGCACCCCACATGCCACAGCTAGGGGGACCTGCAACTGTGTACGGGGGTGGGAGGGCGGTTGGGGAGCTAAAGCAGAAAAAATAAAAGCTTTCTCTGACCCCCAAAGTCCAGCTAAGACCTAGGCTCTCTCAAGGTACTCTCATTGAACACCCTCGGAGTGACGCTTACGTGCTATTATGTAATTGCCTATTTCTTATATGCATTCCACATGAGACCCGAAGTTTCAAGAGGACAGAGATCTAGGACTGGGAATGTTTTCTTCTCCATTATATATCCAGGTGTACTCCATCAATAATTGTCAAATAAAGGGAAAATGAATGAATATATTGCTCGTGGGACTGTGGGAGATACTGGAACTAGAACTATGTAAAACATTAAATTCAGCTATTTTTAATATAGTGCGTATATTTGATAGTGGTATTATATGATTTAAGAAAACAGCAATCAATTTTAAGATCAGTGTAACCACAATTTGCCACATAGTTGAAAAGCCTTAATTTAATAAAATATAATTTAATATAATTTAATAAAAGTTCTAAGTATAATTTAATGAATATAATTAATAAATTCAATAAAAATTTACTATCTAAATATAATTTAGTAAAATTTACTATCTATCTTAAAAGTGGGAATAATTGAGGAAAAGAAGGGTAAGCAGAGATTGTATATGTCTGTTTTCTGAAAGAAAATCTACAGATGCAAAATACATTAATAAAATATGTCCTTCATGCAATTAGGATACTTAAGTAACCAAATCAACCAAATAGAGCATTACATTTTTCAGGATATGAATTATCCACGTCAGTCAACAGTTTATAGAATTTTACAAAACGCCCCCGCGTTGCACAGCAAAAGTTTCCAATTCTAAAGCAATAGAATCTAGGGATTTTTTGAATATTCAAGACACAGAAAATTGTGAAGCAGAAACAGATGTCTGTTACCTGTCTAGTGTGAAGGCATACATCTTGGTGGCTTTGTCATTCACAAGATACGTTCTTTCAAGAAACTCCATGGCGGTCAGGATAAGAGCTTTGATGTTGTTGTTGTTGTTTCTGCTGCTGCTACTGCTGCTGTTTAACTCACTGTCCAGTTTTGGAAGCAGAGAAGCATTACAATTATTCACACACTTTCCAAAAAAAAAAATAAGGAGGCTTCCGAGACTGAAAATAGCAAGCCTCCTACATCAATGTTCTTGGTAGGTCTGCTAAAATTACAGCCTCCTTGGAATTTCACCTGGCCTCATTCTCTCACCCACAGAAACTCCTTTCCTAGGGAGACCTGTAGATCGGATCATATGAAGTGTGGGCGTGTGTGCGTGTGTGTGTGCATGCGCGCACACACACTCCCCATGCTATCTGGTTCTATTATGCTTTCTAAGAGGTAGGGGACCTCAAGGGTTCCCACTAATTGCTGATGTAGGGGTTTGGCCTTCAGAGCACACCTGGGTAAGCAAACAGCCACCCTTCTGTACACTAATCTCATTTTTCCTTTTCTTTTTCTTTCCTTGTTTGGGAGGGTTTCTCTCTCAACCTAAAAGCATTTCTCCTGTGATTTAGTTCTAATATGATCTCTAAGCAGCTTTCAGGATTTACCTCTCTTCTCCTAGGACCATTTTGGGATTTCGCCATTGAAGCAAGGACATGGGTCATTAGTTCCCAAAGTCTGTAATCTGAAACAGTTCCTGGCGCGGCAGCTTTGAAACCCTTTTGACAGGCAGGAGAAGGGCAGTCTCAGCTTCTAAATAGCTAACAGCCCTCAATCACACAAGAACCAGAATGACCTTTGTTCTCCCTGGCAAGGGTACCCTCTGCTGAGGATAAAAGACTCATCCAGGAAACGCTACCAGGCAAACCAATCACAATTCTTAGGAATGGAACCTTCTGAGTTGCTGCAGGGAAAGCTTCAGCCCCCAAACTCCTAGGAATTGACATTGTATTTCATGACAAAGCACTTTCCTTTCCAAAACTATAGTCCAAGGGCAACTGCCTGGTCAAATGGCAGGCATTTGCATGGGGGCCAAAGAACATTCAAGACCTGTACAGATGCATGCAGGGTGGGTGAGTGCAAAGTTGGGAAGAGGGCATAAACCCCAGACCACTGAGATCTCATTTCCTTCTCCCTCTGTTGACACTAATTTCCTAGTGAGAAAGCTCAGGGTAGTGTGGTCCCGGAAGAGCCCAGTGGCTCAGCACCTTGGGAATTTTTCTATCTTGCTGAGCAGAGATCTCCCACAACAACCTAATAAAATAATTATTGCCCCCCTAGAAGAACAATGGGATTCAATGGCAATTGCAATAGGTAGTGAGGGGAGACGTCACCTTTGGCTGAGAGTGAGAACGTCGGATCTCCTGTCACGTCTGTGGTGAAGCTGTACCTCTTGTTTATTTTAAGATTTCAAATACTCTCATCTATAACATAAATTCTAAAATCTTTTCAAGTGACCCCCTTGCCTAACTGATCATTAGCTGTGCTCTGACTGATGGAAACCAGAGAAATGGCTCTCAGAGGCTATCTTTCCTAGAAGGAGAAATTCTAGTTCTTGCGTTAGCAGAGTAAAAACCAAGGGATTTCCTTCTCACACATCTTTACTCTTAGCTTTGCAAAATAATAGGTTATTCTGTGCATACAAAAGTAGGAAACCAGAAAAGAATTCCTAATCCATCCGTGTGACACGTTGTCACACTTTATAGCTTGAATCATTTGTGAGTAGTTCCTAGCATGTATGAGAGAAATAGAATTCAAGTGAATGAATGTCAAAAAGCGAGGAAACTACCTAAAATCAGGCTGAAATCCATTAAGGATAAATGCAAAGAAGAAAAGATAAGCAATATTCAAATGCAGGAAACAGAATATTTGGCTGTAGACATCAACAGGAAGAAAACAACCTGGAAGTCTGAGATTCTGGACCACAAGTTTTGTCAATTGCATGCATTAATAGATGCACAGACATACTGGTGTCTATTTTATGATTCTATGAGAATGGAGATATGCACTAGTTTTTTAATGTGAATTTCCTGTGAGGCAAGGATAGAGTGAGGGTAAATGAGAAGAGTAGGGAAAGACTGATATAGGACAGGGTAAGATAGAGATGGGAAAAGAGGGAATCGGGACCCAAGCAAAAAAGAAAAAGAAAATACTGTGCCAGAAAAATGCGTTCTATGATCTCTCCCATTTATTTATAAGTTGAACTATATAAAATTGCCATTTTTCAAGTTCTTTGGATAAATACCCAGCAGTGGGATAGCTTGAAAACACAAAGGCATAAAGATACATGCACCCCTATGTTCATCGCAGCATTATACACAATAGCCAAGACTTGGAAGCAACCTAGGTGCCCATCAAGGGATGAATGGATAAAGAAGATGTGGTATTTATACACAATGGAATACTACTAAGTTGTAAGAAATGATGAAATCCATCCATTTGTGACAACATGGATGGACCTTGAGGGTATTATGCTGAGTGAAATAAGTCAGAGGGAGAAAGTCAAATACCGTATGATCTCACTCATAAGTAGAAGATAAAAACAATGACAAACAAACGCATAGCAATGGAGACTGGATTGGTGGTTACCGTGGGGGAAGGGGGGGAGGGCAAAAGGGGTGATTAGGCTCACATGTGAGGGGATGGACTATAATTAGTTTTGGGTGGTGAACATGATGTAATCTACACAGAATTTGAAATATATCACAATGTATATCCAAAAGCTATATAACATTATAATCCAATGTTACTGCAATTAAAAATAAATAACTAAATAAAAATGAAAAAAATGTTTCAAAAATTAAAATATTAAAAAAATTGCCACTTTATAGACCCAATATGGTCTACAATCAGTAATTTCATATAATTTGACTTAAATATATATACACAAATATACATACCTATAAAGTGTATATGTGTACATATACTTTAAAAAATTAAATGTGCATATTTTTAAAGTACTGGGAAATTAGGTACTGTTTTCAACAAAGCTTTGTGAATTTCTAAGTGCTACCCTTGAAGATAACTACTATAAACCAAAGCTTCTGATGTAAGTAGCATAAGAGCAGGGAACAGTGGATTACAGCAAATAAAACTTGTGTGCTAAAAATGTTTTGCTGCTATATATTTAGATGTACGTGAGTTAAGCTGAATAATTGCATACACTGTGTAAAATATTCATCTGTTGATCACCTTATTGTTTCACAAACTCATTTTAACCAAACAATCCTCCCCAGCCCCCAATATGTTGTCAGCACAACATTTATGAAAAATTTCCCATCCTCCTTGACTAACCTTGGGCCACTTCGGCATGCACTGCCACCCAAGGGCTAATGGCCCTAAACGGACTCCACAAGAGTCACAAAATATGTATTTGGAAAGCAACTCATATCTAAAAAGAAAATCCCCTCTCTTGTTGACAGTCGGTTTTGGTGGGCATTATGCTGCTCATCCTAGTTTCCTAGGCAACCGGCTTCCAAATCATCCTGAATTACAGGTTGTCCTCTCCGCCCACTCTCCATCACAAGCTTGTAGCAAGTGAAGGAGCAAAATGCAATTTATAACAGTCACCTCTGGGAATAGATATTCTGTCAGGGCAGAACATCACTGACACAACCAAAGACCTGGTTCAGCTCCCCAGTGCTCACTGTTACCGGAATAAATTTCTTAATAGGATTTTACAAGCAGTTGTTAATACTTGTGCAAAAATAGTTTACACAGGTGTCTTACACATTGTCTGATATTTCACTTGCAGAAAGGATGTGTGTATTTATGCAAAACCACAGTGATCACTGAAGTACTGAGTTCTCACAATTTGCATTCCCAAAATTTAAACTCATATTTCAGAAATGCTTCATGTTGCCATTGTTTGCATGTAACTATCCCTTAAAAAGAGATATGAAAATGTGCTTGTTTTTAAAAAATAAACGTGAATTTTCATCCTGTTTGTATCTTTCTTGTGTGTGTGGAAAGGCAATATAGTAACGTAATTTAATGCATGGGCTTTCGAATTAGATAGACAGTTTCAGTTTCTGGTTTGACCACTTCCTTACGTGTGTGACCTTGAACAAGTTACCTGACCTCCGTAGTTTTCCGTTTCTCATCTGCAAAATTCTGGCATTAATAGAATCCTTCTTACAGAGCTCTTGTGAAGAGTGAAAATGATAATGCGTGTAAAAGTTCTTAGCACAGTCTCTGGCATATAACCAATTTTATATACATATGAGTTGCTGTGTACTTGGCCGTGTCTGAGTAAAATGTCTTGGCTGTCCCTGAGAAATTGGCCCCAGGGTTAGCAGAAGACTAAGAATTACCCATGAAAGGAAGAATCCATCAAGAGAGTAGAGGTTGTTGGAAGAAGACCTGGAGCCTTGAACCTGCCGTCAGCTCCACGACTTTGGATAGATCCCTCCAACTCTGTGCACTCAATCTTCTCAAATAATAGATTTGTGCCTTCCTCATTCTACCTGCTTAGCAGTAGAGTGCCTTTTAGAATTCTCCCTTTTTGTTGACGCAACAGGAGAGGAAATGCAAACTCAATCAGTTTAATTACCTGCTGAAGATTCTGGACTTACATATTCCCATATGGACCATAAAGATATTATTTCTAAGTTGGGTAGCATTTCCTTAGCAAGGTGGTTTTATAGTTACTACTACAGTGTGAGTTTTTCAAAAGTTCCATCCCAGGAATGTGAAAACAAAGACATTGGAAATTTAATTGGATTGCATTTTAAAGAATGTTATGAAAATTTCATTTTAATCTAAAGTAAACATGTATAAAACACAAACCATCTCCTGACATTTCATACTTTACTTGAAAATGGACTGAAAGCCATCTGAACTTTATTTTCTTCTTGATAAGTTGGGACTATATAACTCTCTCTTTTTTTTGCCATTTTTATTTTTAAAGAGATCGAGCTGTAGAAGTGTTCCAGCGCAAATGCAATTTGCATTTGTTGAGAAAAGAAGGGCTTGATAAAATATTGATACTGAAACAATAAAAGAAATATTTTATTAAGCCTGATAGATTCAAATGAATAATACAAATATAAACTAGCGGTGGGGGGAAATATTGGGGCTAGGTGGTTAAGGCGTTTACAAAGGGTATATTTTATTGATTAGTCTCCATGTCCCATGCTTCCTTTCCGCTCTGCAAATTTAAACTAGTTAACCCCTAAATTCCCCCTCTGAGCTAGATGTGGTTGTCTGTGTCTTGTAAACTACAAAGGCGTTTTCTGCTGGTTTCATATTCCCACAACTGTGTATGTGTCTCTGTTTATTTTATTTACATTGGCAAGCTAGAGAGGGTTCCAGGGACCTATGCCATGATTTTAAGGCATTAGAATAAGAAGGATAGACAAAAACATACTCTCTAATGTTCTGGCTCCTTGGTCTATAAATGCACAGAGCATCACTAAAAACTAAAGCGTTGAATTCTTGAACTTAAAAGAGAGGGTCCTCTTGTCATTATCTGGAATGCTATCATTTAATTTTCATGAGTACAGTTTACTTTCCTTTAGTG